AGGATGACAACACCGATCAGATTGTCCTCAAACAGGAGCGCTTCTGCATCGCCGCCACATAGTGTGGGCACACCTTGGTGACAGCCGATCAGTCGCTTCTGAGGCGCATCAGGGAATGTTCGGAGAAGGATCGGGCAGTGGCTGAGGCACTTGAGAAGGTGCAGAACCTCGGGCCGCCCCAGCTACAGAAGGGCTTTGAGGGGTGGAATGCCGAACAAGGGCTTCTGTTGTTCCGCAGATGTGTATATGTCCCAAAGAACACAGAGCTCCGGCGGGATATTGTCAAGATCCACCACGACTCGCTGATCGCCGGTCATGGCAGTCATGCCAAAACCCTCGAGCTCGTGTCACAGAACTACTGGTGGCCAGGGATGTCCAAATTTGTCAATGAGTACGTAAGCACCTGCAATGTGTGCAACCATACCAAGACATTCCCAGCCAAGCCCCAGGGTCCGCTGAAGCTGAACGAGATCCCCGAGCACCCATGGCAGATCATCACCACCGATATGATCATAGGTCTGCTGAAATCTGATGGATTCGACTTGATCCTAGTCACTGCTGACCACTTTACCAAGCAGGTCCACTTCTCGGCCTGTCATGAGACCCTAATGGCAGAAGGTGCAGCAGACTTGTACATCTGCAATGTGTTCAAGCATCATGGGGCCCCAGCCAAGGTCATATCAGACCGAGGTCCCCAGTTTGCATCGAAGTATCTCCATTCAGTGTACAAGGGACTTGGGATCGAGCCGGCACTGTCTACAGCATTCCATCCCCAGATGGACGGCCAGACCGAGTACTGGAATCAGGAGATCGAGCAGTACCTATGTGCTTTCACAAGCCACAGGCAGGATGATTGGGCGAAGCAGTTGCCGCTTGCAGAGTTCATGCTGAACAACCGAGTTCACTCTGCAACTGGGTACTCCCCCTTCTTTCTAAATCAGGCTTATCACCCTGAAATCCAAGTGCAGATCAATCTGATGTCCATGATGCCCATGGCCACAGATCAGCTTAAAGTTCTGAAGGAGATTTGGGATGATGCGCACTCCACGCTGGAACTGTCAGCTGAGTGGATGAAGGTGTACTATGACAAGCATGTGCAAGAAGCACTGGTCCTTGTGCCAGGGGACAAGGTTTGGCTTGATGCTCGGAACCTTAAGCTGAAGCAGCTGAGCAAGAAGCTCAGTCCCAAGTGCCTTGGACCATATGCCATGTGGCGAAAGCTCGGAGACTTAGATTACAAACTGGTTCTGCCGAAGTCAGTGCCTGTGCACCCAGTGTTCCATGTCTCCTTGCTGAGCAAGTACATGCATAGCAACATCCCTGGCCAGGAGCTGGAGGAGCCGCCTGCCATCAAGGTTGAAGGTGACGAGGAGTATGAGGTTGAGCAGATCAAAGATTCGAGGATCTTCCGGCGTCAACTGCAGTATCTCATCAAGTGGAAGGGTTATGACGACTCACATATGTCATGGAAACCAGCACGCAATATTGCGAATGCGCCGACCCTCATAGCCGACTTCCACTGGAAGAACCCGAACACCCCTTGTCAGCTCAATGCTGCTACCTTTGGTGATCTCACCTTCCAGCCAATACCTTCACTGCTGACTGAAGCACACTGCCGCTCCAGGTGGGAGATGGGCAGGGGCGCCTCGCATGAGGTCATGCACCGTTGAGGGAGGGTAATGTCACAAGTTGACACGGCATCTAGCCATTTTTAATTTTTTCCTTTCCACGGGCTCGAACCCATGACCTCTGGACTATACACTTGAATGGACAAGTCGTTATCTACTGTACGATTAGATTAGATGGGGCGGCAGTGCATGGCACAGCTCGGGCTCCACTAACACAGCCGTGCTGACTCACTGGCCCCCGGGGCTGTGTCAGCATGCTGCACACAGATCAGCTGCACATGGACCAATGTGCACAGCCTGCCCTAAATCCCCCATGTATATAAGCCGGCCTCTGCTGTCCTAGGGACCTCAGTTTTGACCTCTTGTCCCTAGGTTAGTAAGCTCTCATGTATCCTTTACTTACCTTTACTAACTAATGCATTTCTTGTCCCTAGCCTTAGGTTTGAGTGTGCTCACCATTGCTTCAGTCAATCCAGTCGAACACCCCCAGCCTCAGTGTTTGTTTGTTCCTTGTCACTTGACCCTAAGTTGCAACACCGTTGATGGTGGCACTGCATCCTTGATGTCGGCCATTCTTTTTACGTGCAGCAACTCAACAAATGGTTGGGTTGGGGGTATCCCTTCCACAACACTGTCGAAGGAGTCTCCCAGCCTTTGAATGCGTCCATCACGGACAAGCCAGTGGTTGTGGCATTCGCGCAGGCTATCAGGATGGCAGACACCTCAGGGAGGAAATGCTTAACCCACAGGTCCCACTCGACATCTGCACATTCTCCGACTTGCTGGAACACAGGGTAGGCGATGTCGTGTGGGGACCCCTCGAGTTGGCCTCCTTTGTCGATGAACACAGACTACCAGTGTCATGTTAGCATTGAGCTACCCAGTCAACACATCTGACATACCACTTTCAATCCCAATTTGATGATGTACTCCTTCAGGGCCTGACCCCCCTTGTGCTGCACAGAGCCATAGAAGCACTACACGCACGAGACTGACCAAAATGGCACACCCATTGTGCAGGCGTGCGGAGTCCGGCTTCCTGAAACAGTAAGTGTTTCCTTATTGGGTACATACACATTCCCGTACCATTACACGGGGAGACCCCCACAGAGCCAAGGAGGGTGCTGCGCACCACATTTCCTGTTACAGCATGACCGCTATGCAGAAAGACCTCCCGCTGCACAGGGCCCAAAGCAGAGGTGCTCCGTGCAGGAGGCGCTGTGCGCGAGCACACCGGCGCTATGCGCCCATCCTAAAAAGGCAGGGCACCAATACAGTGGCACTCGTGTGCTCACACATGCGGCCAACGTGGTAGCCAGGTGGATGCCATGCTAGATCCCACGCCACCCCGACACCATCCTCCCCCTATTCATAGACTAGTTAAGTGACCCGTGGTGTTGCCACAATAAGGCGCATTGCGCCTGGTATGTTTTTACTTATTATTGAAGGTGCGTTGCGTCTTGTATATAATTATCATTCTTTAAGGTGCTTTGCACCTTTTATACTTAGTAATGTTTACACTTGTTGAAATTTGTCAAGTCCATTGAAGCCTGCCCTGAAGTAGGGTATTGGATTGCAGAATTTTGGAGTGATCATTACAAACAGCCAGTAGATTAATTTTTGTTGCAATACATGAATTGAATGGAGATAGGAAAAAAGAGAAAGAGAAAGAGAGAGAAAATGACTATATAGACATTTGTTAGTTTACTGTTCTACAAATAAGACAACACTTACAATTATGGTTCCAAGATAAGCTTTTGCATGATGGCAGATGTTTCCAATTTCTATTAACATGTTGTTAGCCTTTGTGTTTAAATAATGAAAGTCGCAACACACCAATGGTTAAGCAGGCCAGTCAACACCTCTGGATACACTATATTGGCCGTGTTTGTATTGGTAGCATTCAGGGGGAAAAGGACTTTAATCCGGCTGGGTGATGTGCAGCGGGATAGTGCAACATAAAGTTGACCATGCGAGAAGACAGGGCGACAGAGGTCGAGACCAACATGGGTAACTTATTGACCTTGGGACTTGTTGATAGTCATGGCAAAGGCCAAATGAACAGGGAATTGGCAGCAGGAGAGGGGAATGGGCAAGTCTTCAGCTGATGGCTTGATGGTGATTCGTGGAATATAGACCATTTTTCCGGCATGTGTTCCTCCTAAAACACAATACTGAAGCACACGTGGCTGGATGTTCATCAAGATCATGCGTGTTCCATTACACAGACCATTGGTGGGATCCAAGTTTCAAAGAAGCATGAGTGGCACACCTGGCTTCAAGGCAAGATGAGCCAGAGGAAGACCGGAGACGTTGATTGAGTTGAGGTATTCCATTGGATAATGTCCATTCTCCATGCCTTTAACTGTGTCCGCTCCTGTTAACACCACCTTCTCTCCTGGAAACTTCTCCAAAATGTTGCCATTGATACTGTCAACTGCATCGTTTTTGGCAGAAAGAATGGTTCTTTCAAGGAAGTATTGATCTGGTTTTTGTCCATTCACAATGCCAGGATATAGTGTATCCACCAAAGTCTCCACCATATTGTTCATCAGCCGCATTGTGTCTGGAAGCTTGATGGTCTTCTGGGGTGATACATTATCACCTGCTCCAACTTTGAGTAACCATGTTGCAAATGCCTCACTTTCCGGGTTTTGATCCAGTTGCATGTTTTGGGTGAGGTGAAGGACTTCAATTTGGGGCCATAGATAGGAGCGACGTAAGGAGGCAGCCACAATATGCTAACGGGTTCCCCTTGCAACTACTGGAAGTGTTTGATGGAAGTCACCTCCAAACAAAACAGTGATGCCTCCAAATGGCACATTCTTATCCATCACATCACATATGGTCCGATCCACTGCTTCAACAGCATGGTGATGCTGCATAGGTGCTTCATCCCAAATGATGATGCTTGTTCCCCGCAGCACTTCTGCTAACAGGCTATCCTTGGGTATTTGGCAAGTTTCTCCTTCATGAACAGGGATAGGGATCTTGAATCGGGAATGTGCAGTATGACCTCCTTCCAGCAACAGTGCAGCAATCCCAGAGGAGGCAGCACACAGACAGACTTTGCCATCTGCACATGCTGCTGCTGCAATGGTGTTGCACACATATGTTTTCCCCCTACCTCCGGCACTATGCAAGAAAAACATCCTGCCCTGGTTTCCTGTTACTGACTCCATAATGGCACTGTAGGCTGCTGATTGACCTGCATTGAAGCCTTCTTGGTTGAGCACTGCCATTTGCTGAAGTGCACCTTGGTCGTAATGAAGCTGCTCATGAGGAAGTGGGTTTACTGGAACATCCTCCCATGGATGTTCGGAAAGGGGCATTGGGGGATAATTTGTTAAGTGCTTGCCAGCTTGCAGCAGGAGTTTGTCGAGTAAGAATAGTCCGTAATCCCACACTTGAGCTTCAGAGCGATCCTCTATGCCTGTTTGAATAAGCCGATGCCTGAGGTTGTCACATATTCTGTCCTTGAATTGGTTCCAAAGCACTGCTGGCTCCACAGGATGACAGTGAATCAACAGCATAACAAACAGGTTGCGGAGCTGCATGCCTGTCTGCATTGTTGCAGCCTCCTCCAAACATTGTACCCACTCTCCATCGTCCTCCAGAAGACCATGTGCACTGCAGGCCGCCTTGTAGGAAGGATGGATAACACCATTCACTGTATGCAGATCTGCAAAGCTTTTGGCCCCCTTGACCACAGTAAGAAGAAGGCACAGATAAAACTTTTCTCCAGCAGAGGGATGAACAAAGTTCATCTGACCAATGGCAAAGTCTCAAGTCCGAGTGGTCCACTTTTTAGAGGAGTTGTTCCAGACAAAGTGCTGAGGTATGTCCTGATAAACATAGTTGTTTGCCTGTGGGTTTTCCTGTTTAACAACAAACCACTCTGTTAACTTTGTTTTGATAAATGCCTGTTGGTTAAGCACATCCTCCACAACATCCTCAGGATCAAAGTAGACTGTCTGCTCATTTTCCAGGTGGACAGGAAGCCAATATACGGTGGGTTTTTCCTCGTGCATGGCAAACTCCATGGTATGCCAGACCGCCTCGACCGGACCAATATAGCGAGCATCAATGTACTCCTTGATCTCATTCCTTGGCCCCACCTCTATTGTCGCCCTGTCGTTTCCCTTGTAGATATACTTATGTATATACTTGACTGCCTTGACCGATGCACATATTTCAACGTTAATGTAACAGTCAAATTCGGCAGAAAGCTGTGGATTATAAGGAACAACATCGCGGTTGGTGAAGACAACCCCTTTTGCATTCCATTGTTAGGTCGGGTGTACACAGGATAACCATCATCACCAAAGATGGTTTCTTCACAGAAGTCACAGGGGTATTGCTTTGAGCAGGTGCTGTTTTCAGCCATACATGGTGTGTTTGGTCTCCTTGTTCCACATGGGCCATGCAGCATACATTTTGTGACAGTGTTGTAAAGCAAAGGGGAGGTGTCGGGATCAGGAAGTTGGGCAGAGACAATGCTGTCAACATGGGCAGCATCATGGATCTTGTGAGGCTCTTTGAGGAAGATAAGCAGATGCATGTGTGGCAATCCTCATTTCTGGAACTTGATGGTGTATATGTGTGCTGCCAGACTGCCAAAAAACCCATCTTTGATCTTCTTGAGTAGCACGTTCATCTTCTGTCAAAAAACACAGGCAACAATGTCTGGACGGTCTGCTGCTGTCTGCCGGTGAGGTGGTCGATCTGGATCATCATCATTTCCTTCCAGCTCCATTAATGCTTCTTGGATTTCTGGCCAGTTTGGGTTGGCTGTTATTGTTAGAAAGATATCTGGCTTCCGATAATTTTGACAAATGGCCATAGAGTCCTAGAAAAGCTGGTACATATGCCGTGTGCTGCCAGGATGGGAAGAAGGAAGAATGATATGCTGGCCTTGCTGTCCAAGATCAACATTATGATCACCGGCATGCATTGCATCAAGTAATCCCTGATACAGGTCTGCTCGAATCTGCTTCTGGTGATGCTTGATCCAGAACAGATTGCTACCATCCACTGAGGCCCATGCATCCACCACATATTGCTGAAACAGCCGTCCACCATGGAAGATGTAATCATGACCAATGATTCTTGGATGAAGGTGATAGGCATAGTAGCAGCGCTGGCTAACTTTGGGACTTCGCATTTCACCATTGGGTCCAGGAACAGAAGGAATGTTGCAGTGCCACCCTTGATCGCCTTGTGGAAACAGCAGAACATAGTGTAGTGGTGAATAGAGGGGGTGTATGTGGCTAATCTGCTTGAGCTCTCCAGTCCGCAACCTGAGAATAACATCACGATGTTCATCCACATCCTCATCTCCACTTCCAGGTATAATGGCAGCAACTTCATCAACAGTGGGCAAGTTGTATCTCCAGTGGTCATCGCTTTCCTGTAGCTGGAGCTGTGCAGATACATTGAGCTGCTCCTCTGGTGGCTTTTCTACCAGGATTTCATATGCTCGCTTATACAAAGGCACAAAGGGATTGTGTGTGAGCAAAAGATCTTGAATCTCATTCATGATCCCTGGATCCAGATTTGGATTATGTAACATGCATGTTTGAAGTGCGGCATGGGGATCATGAATGTAAAGCTGAGCGTACAATGGTTGTATGTTGTTGTTAGGAAGCAAGGTGCCCATCCGGTGATAAAGTCCTCCATGTATACGGAAGGAATATGGCCCAGAGCCATTGAGGACATCATGATCAACAGTTACTGCCACTGACGTGAATGCAAATGCAGAATTGTACTGGCGAATGTTTTCCTGGAATAAGTGAGAGCAGGGATCAGTACCCTTGAAAAGCCTTTGCAATACACCTGGTGGCTGAGACACTGGAGGTAGCTGCACTTGTCCCTGCAAGCAGCACATTCCAAACTTGGGTTGCCCAATGAGTGATCGACTAAGCTGTTCTCCTGGGAAATGGTGGGCACCACATTGTAAACATGCCAAAAACATGTTACCAATTGTGTTACGTGTGATGGGCTCCACATAAGGCTGTCGTCCAGGGGGGATTTGTTCCAGAACATTGTGTGCATAAAGCTCCTCCAAATTGTCTTGAATCACCTGCATGTGCTGTATCTGAGCTGCCTCCTCCTGCTCGGCCTGCTGTGCCATGTGCACCTCAAGTTCTGCCTGCTGGGTAGCAAGATGTTCCTGTTGCCTTTGTGACTGATGTACTTCATGCTGAATAACATCATTTGCATGCTGCTGTGCCAGGTTCGCCTGCTGCTGTTGACTTTGTTGAGTGATCAATGCTTCTTCTGCCTCCTGCCTCACTTCCCATGCAAATTTCTGTCTTTGTGATCGCAAGTCCTGATAGTGACTGTTTTGTGGTGCTGCAACAGGTGCCACAATGTTTTGTGGAGGTGCTACATTAGCATATGATCTTGCCATTCTCCAATTGTTAACACGTGCTTGATGAGTTTCCTGAAAGCCCCTTTGCAGTTCTTGGTTCCAATCCCGACAAACAGGCAAAGGCTGTCTAGATGGACCTGCCACTGGCTGGGGTAAGATCCACGAAGGACCTGCAACAGATGCTTCTGCTTGCTCATACACTTGATGATAGTTATAACCACCAAGCGGAGCATGTGAGGGGCCAGCATAAGCTACTTGAGCATATTGAATAGTGGGATCAACTTGTTGTGATGGTCCTGCAATGTTTTCCAAATACACATTGGACTGTGGGACATCATTTGACCCATATGCTCCAAATGAATCATTTGAAGGGCCAGCATGGGCTACTGGATGATGTAAGCTACCGAAATTTGGCTGTGGTGGGGGAATAGATTCTGCAGTTTGTCTTTGGCGGCAAATAGAAGGCAATGTCATTTGCAAATGTTCAATGTGCTCACATTCACGCTCTGAATGGTGCTCATGTTCTGGTGTATGAGGCTGTGGTCTACACAGCAAAAGGCATCATTAGAATCACTCAATTATTTCATAATATGGTCTGTAAGACTCACAGTAACATATTGCCACTTGTTGCATTCAAATCTGACTGATAATTCTTATTCAAATGGGGCCTGCAGCCATATTTCCTTTATTAGAATAGATTCCTGCGCAAAATAACCATTATTGACTCACAGAGCACTGGCATTGTGTTCAGCCATGGTAGGGGGGAGGCTTAATATAGTTGTATTGAAAAGTGGTTGGGCAGCTAGGCTCAAGGTTGGCAATTGTAGTCACTTTCTTCACTCCCCCCCGAGGTTGGAAATAAACACTGTTTGTACATGTTTGTACCCGTTGCACATAAGGCATAAGTTTACATGTCCACAATATCATGTTTTCACAGGGGCCTCCCTTGCACAATAAATTCAATGTTGCCTCAATTTGTCTGATTCTCTCACACTTTTCACAGATCACTCGTGTGCTCTCACACATGCATTCCGCGCCATTTGCATGCTCTGAAAGTGCCTCAGAGGCAAGATATTTGCTCAACACCGTGCCACCACACAACGGTGCTGGGCACCTATCCTAAACAGGAAGGTAATCCTATACAGCGGCACCGCTCATGTGCTTATGCACGTGGCCAACGTGGCAGCCAGGTGGCTTTCACATGAGGATCTTCAGCCACAATCTTGCCTCATCCCACTATTCTTAGACTAGTTAAGTGACCCGTGGTGTTGCCACAATAAGGCACTTTGCACCTGGTGTGTAATTAATGGTGTATTTATTTGAAAAGGTGCTTGGTGCCTTATTTTGTATGTAAAGTAATACAGACTGCACAGGTGCTTTGCACCCGGTACAAAATGGCAAACATATTTTTGGGTGTGAATGGTGCTTTGCACCTGTTCGCACCCCCATTCATATATGTGTAGGCACTTCATGCCTGCTATCCTGCCTGTGCATTGTATATAAGTATTTTTAATGGAAATCATAAATGTCTCCTCTGATTCAAATACATTGTCATTGAACTTCCCTTGAATTCCCATGGCATTTCCGTTGAATTCCCGTGGCATTCCTGTTGAAACCCCGTGGCATTCTAACTCCATACCCCCGTAAGCTTCCCGTTGAATTCCCGTAAGCTTCCCATTGAATCCTATCGAATTCCCATTGCAATTTGACTATATACTCCCATGAATTTCCCATTATGTGGGGGAGATCCCCGCGGACCCCCCTCCTGCTGCGCGGAGCCAAGGAGGGCACTGTGCACTGCATTTCCCGTTACAGCGCAACCGCTACGCGGAAAGACCTCCCGCTGCACGGGGCCCAAAGCAGAGGCGCTCCGCGCAGGAGGCGCTGCGCGCAAGCACACCGGCGCTACGCGCACCAATACAGCGGCGACGCTCGCGTGCTTACGCACGTGGCCAACGTGGCAGCCAGGTGGCTTTCACGCGAGGATCTTCAGCCACAATCTGGCGTCATCCCACTATTCTTAGATTCTTAGATTGCCTAATCGCTACTCTACAGCATTTAACTTGTTTTCATTCAACACGATGCCCGACCCCCCAGCCCGCTCTTTGCGATCAAGCACACTTATCCCTACTCGTGTCACTACTCCCTTGTGCGTGCGATTCCCGCGTTGAGCTGCCTACTCGTGAGCGAACCGCGCAGCAGGATCCCGCCCTCCCAGGCGGCTCCTCTTGCTCCGCGTCCCATCCTGGCTAACGCCAGGGGTTCCCCTTCCACACAGCTCCCGAGTGCACCTTTCGCGGGCACCGCGTTCAGCACCCCCCTGCGTCGACGAGGCTGGACACCAGGCCCCCCCCACTTTTAGCTCTCGGGTGCGCAGAGCGCGTTTACTCCGCACTTCCCTGCGTCCACGAGGCCCACGGCTCGGGCTTCCTCCCAGTACAGCCAGGACCTATCAGAGGGCTTAGGCCCGGCATACCACTACGAAGAGCGTCTCCTTATCTTTACGTATCTGAGTTCTGTCCATTAAGGTTGTGTATACGAAGCAGCATAAAGTTCAGTCGTAATGTTCCACAGCATGGAAGCGTTGAGCGGCCATATGAAACCAACGCTGCCCTTATCGTCGTCAGATCAACATTCCATCAAGAGGCAGGGACCGGTCGCAGTGGGCATCGCAGGACGCAGCTCCTGAAGGCTTATTGATCACTGGCAACTAGAAGAACATCGAAATGGGTGGAGACAGCTAGTGGGGGCGCACTAGTGGCTGCGGCTGCGTCTTGATCATATCAGGAGATGCAATCTATTAACTACGTGCGCCCACGAACGTCCACAGTTTCCGACACAGCGCCCGGTGGTCGGTCCCTCTGTGCGCCAATGATGCCCATTCTTCCGCAGCGTCCCCGCGTCCAGTTTACTCACGGTGTATCGCCATCTCTGCTTCGTTGCGTTGCCCCCAACATCGCTCTTCATATCACATGTGGTCATCCATCAAGCCCGCGTTCGAAGGGCGAGCCAGTACTCGATGGAGCGAAATGTTCCTTGTCACCGGCTGAACGAGATCGTGCAGAAGTGGTTCTCCGATGCTGTGCGTCGGCGGCTGCAATACAAGATACCATTCAGGCAATACGCGCTACAACAGTCCCTCCGTTGTAGGTATGTGAGAATATCAATGTGATCTTGTCACCTTATCGCCGGGACGTCTTATAAGGGTCCAGGACCACAAGCTCGGTTGCTGCGCACCTGACCTGACTTGGCCTGATATTCAGAGATGACAATACTCCAAGTGGATGCTTTTGTGCTTGATGGTCCACTAAAGAGTGGTGGAACTGTGTTGAAGATGGCAGCCAAACGGTACAGAAAGCAGGGATGCTGTCCTGATCAAGGAGTGACACTTCTCTTGGCTCATGGGACGGGATTCCGTACGCACCGGTGTTTTATCCGGCTGTTTTCTACTCTAAAATATGCGCAGATAAGGAGCTATGGGAGCCTACGCTTGAGACTCTGTTCAGCTTGCGCAATGGCCGTGATCCCCCTACCAACGTTAGAGAGGCATGGGCCTTGGATTGGCAGAGTCATGGAGATTCCGCTGTTTTGAACACGTCTGCTCTCAAAGCAAGGCGTGAAGGCCTCAGTACGCATATCCAGTTGATCGAGGGTACGCCCAGATGAAGCTAATGCCCAGGGTGTACACAGCAATTGCAGACTGGGCCCACGCCATAGTCGCCTTTCTGCGCAGCCCCCACATTGCAGGACAGCGTTTGGTTGCCATCGGGCACTCTGCAGGAGCGACTGCGCTGTGCGTAATTCTATTACTAACGGGCGATGTTCGTTGATCCCTTCCTGCACAGGATGTACACCACCAAGCTGCTACCTCCAGAGCACCTGCCATACGCGGGCATTATTCTGGTTGAGGCGCCTCTGATTGATAGAGACGTTTTCGAGAAAAACCGGAAGAGACAACAGATGACAATCAAAGCGGTACAGAAGGCTGCAACGTCGCGCCGCGATGTTTGGTCAAGCAAAGAACAGGCCCTCGAATGGCTTCGCAGCCGTAGACCTTGGAGCACTTGGGACGCCCGAGTTCTCGCGCTGTATGGAGTGCGTTCCCTGTATATTCTGAATATATCATGCGGTCATGATACATTCATCCACAGGAGTACGGCATGTGCCAGGCGCCAGGTGCCCCGCCCGGCTTTGTGTCAACGAAATGCGACAAGATGGAGGAGGCTAACAACTACGGCGACGTTGAAAACACGTACGAGGCAACGGAGCAGATAGAGCGGGTGTGTGAGCGGGTGCCCATACATGTCATCTTTGGAGAACATGTCGACATGACGTGCGTGTACTTTGGGGACTGCGGCACGTAGATGCTTATCGGCTCTCTGTACAGCCCGCGCTATGGGCAGGACTCCATGATCGATGAGTCAAAAGGACGGCGAGTCGCTTCAGTTGTCCGCGTTCCTGATGCGGGCCACCTGGTCAGTAGCCTTTTGAGTCGTTATTACCGATTGAAGGCTGAACGGATAGCAGATTGTCCAGCAGAAGCCAGATGCCCTTGCGTCTTACTTATCAGCAAGCCTGAATCGCATCTACTCTCCGGTATCGCGACTTTGATGGAAAGGGATGAATCTCCAGGATGGCGAACGGGCCGTGAGGCCCAGTACGATTTGACATATGATTTGAGATGTGTATGATATGCACAATCGTATATTACTACAGTGTCTTATAAACGATGCATGTTGATGTAACATATTCCATGAACTCCTCCTCAAGACAACGATCAAGCATGCGGCTTCTTGGTAACCGCACGGCAGCATGTGAGAGCGCTTGAGAGATCCAAATAGCGAAGGACCTCTGGTCTCTTGCGATTTTCGAGATCTGTTATCCAACATCAGGTCCCCTTATATACTGGGCGGCATAGTGAGCTTCCCTGTGAGTCAACGCGTCCGCTCATGATATTACACATTATATGATAACACTTGTATGATAGTAAGTACGGCACGATTACTACATAACAGTCATCGAAATCTCCTCGTTAATCACAATGGGCTGTCCCGGGGCATGGAGGTGGCTGAACTTTGAGCGCACCTCAACCAGTCGTGCCTTGAGGTACAGTCTTGTACAGAGAATGTTGTCGAGGGACCATATGGCGCTACAAGTGCAGAGTTAGAGCGGTTTTGTATGCAACAACGTAAAGATTCACATCATAGAAGTGAACGTTTGAGACGCCTGAATATCAGTTGTCTCAGGAACATCGTGCGATTATGAGAAGCTTGAGCGGGAACTTACGTCTCCATAAATGTTCTGAAAGAGGGGGATCAGGCGAATGGCTGTCGTAAAGATGGGTTTGTTTAACCACACTGTATTCTATCCAGCCCTGCAGGGCAGAGCTCACCGAGCACAAACTGCAAGGTATATATCAGATGACAGATTATCGCACATCTACTACATCCAACTCACCACAAATGTCAAGATACCATCGCGTCTTAGATGTGCGAAAATCTCCGAATCACGCCGGCGGGGCTTGCTGAGGGTGTTAACAATGACGAGGCTGAGGACGTATACATCAAACAACACCTGATGTAGCGCATGAGCGAATAGTTCCGTGGTGCTCCAGACACGCATGCGCACCATGCCAGCCCACGTTCCAGTTAGATAGGTTGATTTGCTCGGGAGGAAGCACTCGTGCAGTGGCAACGCATATTGTATGGTCCCTGCGTTTTGTCAATCAGAGTTCATGATTGTGTATTGCACCCGCCTCATACCGGCCTCATTCTTCGCAGCTATGATAGAGAATGCGGCAGAGATGCCGTAACAGACAACAAACCCCGCAATGAGCATTGATCTTGCGATGTATCTGTTGTCCCATAGGATGTATACTCGCAAGACCAGGGCAACTGTCCATGATAATAAACATCTCTCCATTAAGGGAAGGGAAAACATGACTTGACATACGTTGTGAAATCCCGATGCTAATCGTACCGTAGATCCCGACGAATATCACGGAAACATGGCATCTGCAATCTTTTTAGATGGGGTCCATGATGGCATGAGGAGGGCGTACGTCTGCGGACAGAAACATGGAAATGCGGCTGGTCAGTTAGAGACGGACATGGTCAGCTTTCTGAAAACCTTACCAAGTCCGTTAATGCCGCTCGAAGGCCGGAGAGTACTGCATAGACGTTCATGCCAAATAGATCGCCATGGTCAAGGACAGTAGACGCACCGTACGCGAGATATATCATGCTTAGTTCAACGCCATATGCATTTGCCAAAACCACGGTGGATGGGATGGACATAGGCTGTCGCCAAACCAACTCTACTTCCATAACAAACCTAAGGAGGTGATCCCATATTGACACTGTGACTGCCACAGCTATTGCTAGCTCCTTGAATGCACGTATCTGGAACATGGAGAATATTGCATACCTGACATGTATTGCGTCGCCAGGAGGGCATCGAAAGTGGATGCGGGGATGGACATGGACACACAGACGTCTGGAGGATTACGATTTGAGGCACACCATGAGTCCTGCAATGGATGCAAGCCATATATGAATATCAAGTATACAATCATCCGGGGACACTGATTGAGCATCACCGCTTTTGTCACATGCGTGTTTGGTGGTGTATTGATCACAAGTTTTATAGTGTTGCAACCAGACGTTTCAGGGTCACTATCCAAGGGAGACCTATCAGAGAGACGTGACAGCTTGTATCACGGCTACTTTTACCAGCCTAGCAGTGCCAACACCTCGAACGATGAAGTCCATCAGCGCGCACAGTCAGACTCGATTCAAGCGCTATGCACATATGTCAGATCAACTGGGAGATTGGCTCCCCTGGAGAGCTGATCGAGTTGACGGACATGAGCCTCACACCGTCATGAACAGATCTAGTATGCTTCTGATACAGGTACTCTGATGCAGATACGAGCCTTCGTCCCTTGGGGGCGTTTGCATGCCAAATGCCGTTATCAATCGGCTCGTTGCGCTGTATCGGTAGTGGGTGCTGTTATGAGTTTTCTGTGAGCGGAACATAACCCACTTATCTCGACCTGCTCAGGCTCCGAGGATTGATGTATAAGCTGTAACTTTTGATCTTATGCGAATCGAGATAACAATACGACGCGTATACGTGCGGGCTTCTAGCAGAGAGGTGGGGCACTGCAATGGCACCTGCTTTTGGTTAGCTCCACTGGTATGTAGCACATTCGTCTTGAGCTCCTATCACATTTGCCAGAGCCGGGTTCAATCGACCAACCAGATGTTGACTCCGTAAGATTACAGTTACGTCCATAGATCCTGAATTTGTTCGGCGGGCGCCCGCAATACTATGATCTCGACCACCGACGTTACTCACGCAGCTTGCTGAGATCTTCACGAATGTGCAAATAGATAAGATGCTGTGGATGTGAGCTACCTGGTCTTCCAGCCATAAGTCCCATATCACCCTCTATCATCATCCCAAACTAGGACTGTGGTAATCGGTCGCGATCCTGCATAATCCACTACCAGGCACGAACATTTCGTTATATTTCATATTAAGGCTGTCCGTATTGCTGATTCCATCCGTCGCAGCCCCGAGACACCTCAATAAGCACATCCATGAGAACATATCAAAAGGGAGTGTTCAAGTGTGGGAACGAGAATGCCGTGAACGACGAAATGTTCAAGGAGCGTGGGATAGACAAAGTTTCTCTGGCGTCACACACACTGAAGCCCGTGAGAAAGACGGATTGAACGTGACTTCTTCTGTGACACCTGCGTCATCCACGTAGGCGGCCTGACCTCTGCCTCGAGTCCTATATGTCAGACCGTATTCACTATCTAACTCTCGCAGTGCCAACATCAGGTCTGTGCCGCCAGGTACCAGCAAGACACCCATATAGAGCTTGACACGTCTTGACCTTTGCATATATTGGCTGACACGTCCGTTCATCAGTGCGTGATGAGGCCTAGGCTTGATGACCATGCAACTTGCGCTGGACGTTAGAGGATAGCCACGCCAGCTTCAAATACATATGATGTAATGGAGGCAGCACCGTGTGACTGTCTCCTAATGCTGTGAACGTTCCGCGGACCGCCTGATTCGTTGCATCGCTGAGATCCGACCGATTACCATCTATCCTACCATAACCCTCAAGCTTCCATTGATCTGGAACAGAGCTGATGTGTACGTCTTCGAGGTCATCATTGAACCTTCTAGCCGAAATGATGTCTTCGTAGCGCTAGCTGAATGTGTACCAGGCCGCTGTAATGGGCGTCGGAACACATGACTACTCGCATGGTGAGTTCGAAGCCCCATTACCAATTGAGTAGCCCCCGCAATTGAAATATACCTATCGATACGAACAGCTCTATGATTATGCACCGCGAATGCCGCACATACCCACCTCAAGGCTCTCATCGCCTCCGAGATGCTAGTATAGTACGTTTATTTCCGTCACATACCTACTGGCATCGCTGTCACATCGCACGCGTAAAGACCTGTGAAGCAGTGGTATCTACAAGCGCCTGGCCTTCAATCATCGGTTCCTTCCACTCCTGTAGAGCACAGGACATCTCCGGCGTGTATATATACGCATGAGCGTGTCCCACGCCTTCTCCATACGCGAACATGGACTCTACCCGCCCAGAGCTGCAGCAGGCAGACTCCATTGAGTTGAAGAGCAACCCGGATCCACGAGAGAGTACCCTCAAGCTAAATGTGCCCAATCTCGGAGAGGACGTCGCACAGAGTCAGCCTGACGGTCCAAAGGGAGAACGCAAGGCCAAGACGTTCTGGCTGGTTCTCGCTTCGCTTGTAGTTTCTATCTTCATTGTAACTCTCGAGGCGGTATGACTTTTGTTTCTGAACACTTTGTCTCCTCTCATGCATAAGTGGATTATCCCAGACGGCGGTGGGCAATGTTCTCCCCACCATTGCCAGTGATCTACACATCGCTCAATTCATCTGGATTGGTACCACGTACCAACTTGCCTCGACTGCATGGCTTCCGCTGGGTGGAGGTTTAGCTCAGGTGAGCAGTCACTGTTGCTTTAGCTGTGATACTCATTAGCGCAGATTTTTGGACGGCGCCCTGTGATGCTCGCTTCACTCGTTGTCTTTGCCGTTGGCGGTGCTGTGTCGGGGGCGGCCAACGGGGAAGCCATGTTGTTCACGGGCCGAAGTGGGTCATATCTACACTGCCTCATATCCTAGCCTCACTGTTTGGCAGCCATACAGGGTTTGGGCGCCGGGGGCGTCTACACCCTCAGCTCAATCATACTGTCAGATTTGGTGCCATTGCGCGAACGTGGCATTTATAACGGTCTGTTAGGACTGTACGTCACTCACAGAAGGCTATGGATGGCTAGCTAGTTGTGCTGATGTATAATACAGCGCCTGGACCGCTGCTGCTGGCATTGCTCCTGTTGTGGGAGGTGCTCTGGCGCAGACGGGGCAGTGGCGATGGCTTTTTTGTAAGCATATTACCATTGCGCTCCAAGTCTTCCCTGAACATGTGCCAGACATGACTATCCCAATTGCGGGGTTCTCTGCAACATTGGTTTTGTTCTTTGTGAGACTACCAACGCCACCAGGAAACTTACGATCGAAGCTCGAACAGATCGATTGGATGTACGCGTTTTTGATCCGTCACCACAATGCATTGTAACTAATGTCAATTGCTGTCAGTGGAAACTTTACAGTTATGGGAAGCTCCACCGCGATAGTCATTGCAATGACATGGGGAGGAGTGCTCTATCCGTGGTCAGCAGCGCGCGTGCTAGTGCCTTTGATCCTCGGCTTTGTTGGACTCGCCGCCTTCCTGCTCTATGAGGCACTCTGGGCAAAATATCCGCTTGTACGCCATTCTTAAGGTAGTTGCTTTGTACTACTAATTGCTTGTAGGTTCCGATATCGCTTCTCCGGAACAGAACGACCCTCAGTGGGTATGTAGCCCTAATATCCCCCGGATAGTCTCTACACTAATCGTGCAGATATATACAAACTCTGGTGCTCTCGATTCCGACGCAGGGCCTTGTTTGTCAGTTATCGATCTACGACGTGCTTCAAGTTTCTCTTACTAAACCCTGATTTTCACAGACTACTTGCCGGTCTACTATCAGGCGTGCAAGAACGCTTCACCTATTGCTTCAGGTGTCGATCTCTTTGGTACTGCATTCACGATTGCTCCTATGAGCGTCGTTTCTGGTGTTATCATCACAGTCACGAAGAAATATCGACCCCCGATTTGGTTCGGGTGGGGCTTGGTGCTGATTGGCCACGGCCTTCTCAGTACCCTTCATGCTGATACTAGTCGCGCAAAGTCAATTGGATACCAGATTATCCTTGGCAGCGGTATAGGTCTCGTATACAGCTCCATCTATTTTCCTGTCCTTGCTCCGCTACCCGTGTCGTCGAACGCTCCTGCACTAGCTCTGTACATGTTCCTACGCACATTCTCACAGGCACGTCCTCACAGTTAGAATGCGTGACCAGCTTGAGCATTTCTAACTGATCTTACAGGTCTGGGGGGTAGCAATTGGCGGCAGTGTCTTGCAAAATCAACTTGTCAAGCACCTTCCCGTTGCGTTCACCTCTCAGTTCCCAGCGGGCACCGAGCTGGCCTATGCAGCCATCCCGACAATTAGCAGCCTACCGCGCCCGCTCCAAGTGGAAGTCCAAAATGCCTTTGCGACGAGTCTGGACGTTGTGTGGCGCGTGCAGCTGATCATCAGCGCTGTCGGGATGCTTGCAAGCCTTTTCATGCGCAGCCTCCCACTGCACACGGAAACAGATCGGAAGTGGGATGCTACCGCAGCGACAGATCAATGATCGCACCATGGGCTCAGCAGAAGTCCCATTTGTTCAGTGCGTGTACATAGTGTATCGCTCTTATAACCAGTATGTACAGCTTAATGCCATGTCATTGTTTGTGCTGGTAGGCAAATGGCCCAGGTACCAGGGGCATTCGATCACCCATAGCATTGGGAACCAGTCCCTTTTGTGCCGAGCGAAATTTACAAGTCAGCGTCAGCTAAATATAGCATCGAGCGCTCGGGTGGTCTCCACCGACCGCTCACAAGGCAAGCAGAGGTTCGGCGGCAATTCCAATGCTTTGGGACTGCGGCACACGTTCAGGTACACTCGCCGGGCTCAGAACATCTCGCAAATTAGTTACATCCTATCTGGAAACGGCTTCACTGTGTAAGCTGCAATAAGCCTGCTGGCCTCTCACATCCATGAGTGCAGAATCGGAGCTTTTTTCGCCGCTGCTATATGAGCATCCATTTTGACATAATGTCCTGGTAAGAACCTCCTCGATTGTCTTTTGGTGTCTTGTCACTCTTCCGCTTCTTGGCCATCATACAAGAGTCAAGGTTCACTGAAGCGCGAGATGCAAGTCTATCGTGAGGACGAACTTCCTGAATACACACCACTGCCATGGTCCGTCTTTTCCTCGTCGCAATAACAACCTACTAACAATTGCACAGGTCATTGGGACAAATCCGAGCAGCGATACCATCGCACCTGTGGGAGCGGAAGACCTATAGAGGGCTTTACTACCTCGCGCGCGACATCTTCATGGCAACAGCGGCTTGGAAAGGTATTCTGTGGGCAGAGTCCGTATTGACAAGGCCATGTGTTGTGCATATCCTTGGATCATCCGTTTCAAAGCTTGCGCTGTACTGTGTCTGGCTGATATAGTGAGCAGGTTGCGTTAGAGGTGGATATGACATGTGGATTGATACGTACGTAGCTGGTGGTTTCAAAGTCTCATCTTTGCCGGCATCTGGGGCATCGGACACGAGGTGATTATTCGCTCACACTCCCGGAGACGCTTTGAAATCTGATTCCTGTCATGCGACCTTTCAGTGCGGACATGGCGCATTCTCTCCTAACAGGCAGATATGTGACATCGTCGGATTCGTAGGTTTCGCATTCACGCGCCCTGAATTAATTTCGATCGTCAGTAATGTACAGATCGTACACACGACTCTCTGGACACCTTACTTTAGCTGGAAGTACTCTCATCGCCGCCATCACATGAATCATGCTTCCATGGAATGCGACGAAGTTTATATTCCGAAGACAAGAAGTGACTTGGGGATCCCTAAGGATATCCGTGAAAGCGACTACGAAGACTACCTGGGGGATATCCCGATTTACACCTTATGCATACTACTGCGTCAGCAACTTCTTGCGTTTCCTGCCTATTTTCGTACGTTCTAAATAACATCAGCTCGTACATCGAATGTCGTTGAGACATGAATTGATAAACAGTTCTCAACGTGTCGGGGCGCAAAGACTATCCACGTTGGACCAACCATTATAATCGTGAGTTTCCAGTTACTGCTCGAGTGGATTGAATTTTAAAGCGCAACAGCAAACTCCGCACTGTTTTACAAACATCAATACTATAATATTGTTGTATCGGACCTTGGTATTTTGGTTATGACAATAATAGTATTCCATGCAGGAGAGACCTGGGGCGCTGCCAAAGTGATGAAATTGTATGGAGCCCCATGGCTCCTAGTGACCCATTGGTACGATGGGGTACAACTAAGTATGTGGATTGGGGCTGAGGAAGTTTCTAGGTTTATCATGATTACATACCTTCATCATACCGACATCAATATCCCGCATTATCGTGACGGCCAATGGAATTTTCAACGGGGGGCTGCATCCACAATCGATCGTGATTTCCTTGGATGGCAAGGACGCTTCTTTCTGCATGACATCGCGCACTACCATGTCGTCCACCATTTTCCCCCAACGATTCCCTTCTGCGAGTTGACCCGTTTATCATTTCTCTTTCTTGCCCGCTAACATGTATGTGCGATAGATCATTGCGCCGAAGCGACAAAATATCTCCGGGCGTATATCGGGTCATACTACCGACGCTCAAAGAAACCCGTGTTCCGTGCACTGTGGGACACATACAATGAATGTCAGTTTGTAGATGATGAAGGTGATTGACTTCCATTTTGACCAATTGTGCGCTGAGCGATGATCGGAATGTGTAGGAGATATTGTATTTTATCGGGACCGTGAGGGACGTGCGAGCATGCGTCCCGTAGCCATTGCCGCCCATTGTGCAGATGCAAATAGCGCTGATGGATGGGAGAGGTCGTCGAAGGGCATTAGCGAACATGAAGGAGGCAGGTTCTGCCATGTACCGTAGGTGCAGATATATAGTGATAAATCCTGCCACACAGACTGAGGGCTGTAATGTACAAGTCAATGTCATTTTTACGCGTACACAGTAGAGGTAGTGTACACGCGTTCCATACAATATTTGACATGCGCTGCCGTATGTGGTCTACTGCAGCGGGAAATGAAAATGTTATCGGGGGAGCTTGTCTCGTACCCGAGCCCACCATATCCGCACCCCACGGTGGTGGGGTGCGGATATGGTGGGTTTCCTGAGACAAGGGGGAGCAGTAAAAGGCAGTGGACAGCCTTATTGGCGGACTTCGGGCCCCAATCATTTGCCCGGGGTCGCATATCGTGGAAACAGGTGTGCTGGTATGCATACGCATGTAGTACGCACGTAGGGAGAACACTCGGATCATAAGTCATCCACACACGCATGGATGTCACGGAATATCATGGACCCACTAGCGTATACACGCCTATCCCGCGGGGAGATGGCATCGACCCAGGGGCCAGAACCCCCCCCCCCCCCAACCCCCGCCCCCGAGGTCTGCAAACTTGGCGAGGTAATTTCCATTGAGCCAAAGAACTCGAGACTTTGGCGGTTGCATATTTACATACACGTCCAATTCGCGTCCTACTGACATCACCCCGAGCTTCTCGTTAATAATATCCGAAAGCAGTAAGTTCGTCCGTGTGTAGACAAAAGTATTGCAACGGACCTTTGAATAACAAATGTCCGCTATCCGCTGTGTGCGCTTGGATGGGGGAAGGCTCATAACTCCGACGTCCGTGGAGCTGTTGACGTTTTGGGTACGTGATCGCACCCTCCGACTATAACGAGTGAATGCGGATCAGGTGTCACCTCAAAGTACCTTTACGATACACCACTAGAGGTTTATATTGCTTTATCGAAAGATAACAGGAGGACGTAAAGAATCCCAATGACAGAGCAATCCACAAGTATAAGGCGGGCTCGAACTTGGAAGCGGAAAGACTTATGTCGCCCATGTCAAGTGCTCCGGAGCCTGATATGATGCTTCGTGATTAAACCTTCAAAAGATGAATCGATGGAATTAACATGAAGCTGCGAGGGTGCAACCTGGTCGTTATGCTAGAGACACCGCCTGTAGAAGCATGTCACGAGTACGTGGCGAGCGCGACTCCAAGCTGCATATCACGTTCTCCGGAAACCTAGTCCATGCGTCAATGGTAGCTCATGGAACACGGTCATGATGTACAGCAACTTACACAATTGTCCCGCTCGTGTACGTTACCTCGGGCATGATGTCCTTTCCGCGCTCGTCCACTGCACGTTTTACCGTGCTCGTCGCGAGGATCGTCGCAACGACCGCGAAGACCGTACCTTCTGCGAAATCGTACCCCGGACAAGCACGCCGCCCGAACCCAAACGCGAGGTCTGTCACCTTGCGCATCTCTGCGTCCGAATCCTCGAAGCGCTCGGGTCTGAACGCCATTGGATCTGGGTACACGGCAGAGTCATGTAGCATGTGCCTGTTGGCAGATATGAGGTGCGCCGCGAGGATCGATAGTACGAAGTGCGCACCAGACATTGGGCATGACGACAGCGCCCTTCGGGAAAAACATCCCTTCATACACGTCGTCCTGGCTTAACGCATGCGGGAGTCCTGCCGATGACAATCAACATCTGTCATGACATAACCGGAAAGCACTCACCGAGGGGGACAGCTGGGTTCCACCTGTATACCTCCGCGATGAGGCTCCGTACATATGGAAGCGCGGGCCTATCCTTGATCGACGGCAGCCTGTCTGTGCCCACTACCATGTCGATCTCCTTTTGGGCCTTCGCCTGAACATCCGGATAGTGCAACATTGCGAGTATGAACGTGAAGATGGTGGACATGTTCTAAAGACGCCGCCGACCGCCGGCAATCAGCTGTGTGACTCGTACTCCAGGCCGTAGGACGTACCGTGTCCAACCCGCCGCCCAGGCCTGATGAGGCCGCCCAGACCAGAGTCTCTTCGTCCTCCTTTGACAGCTTGCCGCCTGCCTGCGACAGTGCAGTCGCGCAAAGACTGGGAGTCAGCGCCGCGCCAGTCTCCTAAATGAAGCTCATTATCACGATCAAAGTGGTTCTTCAGCGATGTTCAAGACGTACCAAGTTGTCCTTGCACCACCGATATGGGTTCCATGATGCGCT